AATATGAGAACAAAAGTTTTTAAGGAATAGTTGTCAAACAGGGGCTTAATTTGATCCTGCTAATTTTCCATATTTTTCCGATTGGTACAGGGCAACATTGATCTATTTGCTTCCCAGCCTGCCCCTTCTCCTGCTGTTACTTCAACATATGATTTCTTTGCTGCACCTGATCCAGCCCCTCAGCCTGACAACAATGCTTCAAACACTGATTCAACTACTAATACAGTCGATCCATTCGCCGCTGTACCACTGAACAATTTTGATAATTCCCGCCCTTTTGGTTCATTATCTTCCCATATAGAACCTATACCAACAGCATCTACTGAACACTCTGCTAATGATGGAAGCAATGCAAATGGAAATGGAACTTCAGTTGAAACCAAGCCTCTGCCCAAGAAGGATCCATTTCAAGTTAAATCTGGAATATGGGCTGATTCTTTGAGCCGTGGAATAATTGATCTAAATATATCTGCACGTAAGTTTTCCATGCTGTCTTTAAGAAGTTTATTTGCTGAAGCAGTTACTATTGACCTGCACATTTATATCAACACAATGCTATCTTTACTCATGTTTGGGTAAGCTAAAAGAAGTAGGGTTGCTTTTTAGTAACTTCTTGTCCCCAAAAATGGTTGGATAACTTACAATTTTCTTATATAATATTTACCTTACTGTCAAAATAAGTAACTTATTATTATGTATGTTTCACCAATAGCGTGGTTAGTTATTTTAGAACTTCATTATTTACTTATAAGCAAACTTTTTAAGCTCATACTTTATCATTATAGTACACGGCAAGTTTGGAATTTACACCATATCACTAGATAACTATCCCAACAAGTTTGTGATTTCTGTATTATACCGCATACTTGCAGCCAAGAAGATTAACTTAGCAGATGTTGGCGTTGTTGGCGGGTTGACTGATGGATCAGAAGACAAGGACAGAGGACCTATAACTTCATTGTACATGGGTCGAGCCATGGGTAGTGGGTCTGGACTTGGTAAATCTGGGGTTACATCTACATCAACAGGCGGGGACGACTTCTTCTCAAGCCTAGGCAGCCAACAATACGATTTCAGTAGCTTTCGAAAATGAGTTCCTTTTCTAGTGTGTTGTGCATTTTTCTTGCGGCATACTTTTGTAATATTTACCAAGAACTGAATTGAGGTGGCTTGTGAAGTGCTTGCATAAACAAGAAAGGGGTCGATATTGTGTGTATTACCTGATATTAAAGGTTTTTTATATTCTATGTGATTGAAAAGCTTAGCGAGTTTGATTTTTGTTTTATGTATATTTTCAGTTTTGAGCGTTTAGTTTGTTATTCTGAAAAATTGTTACTCAAAACCGAAGACGTGTTCAGTTTGAAATTTTGAGAAATTATTTTATAATGAATTTTGATTAGGCTATATATATATTCACTCTATAATTTTTAATAATTAGACTACATTTTAATTACATGAAAGGTTCATCACCATTACACAGTATCACATTTATATTTTAGTTTTTTTTAATTACATTATTATTATCAAATTAACATAAAGTATTCCTGATTATGGTTTCTTTCTAAATCTTTCTTTAAAATGGAGTCGGAAGGACCATTTTTAATTGCATTTTTGAATAAGCAAAACAAATAATATTACAAAAATGTGATTAAATATTTATTTCTCATTTTAAAGTACGTTAACAATATTTTTGGACGAAAATCATTATTAAAGATAAGATTTTCTGACCAATTAAATGATAAAAATTAGAATATGTTGAAGAAAAAAAAGTTAAGATACAAGTGTGATAATAATTAAACGATAATACCATTTAATCTTCTACAATATATTAAAAGTGGGGATGGTGGAGAAATTTTTAAATATTAAATTTACCCTCATAATTGAAATACCAATTTAATTAGTGTTTATCATATGATTTAGAGTTAATATAACATAAGGAGTGAAATAGTAAATTGATTTTTATCATTTTGAATTGGAATTAATATAAAGAGTGAAACTAACATTCAATTTTATCCCCAAAAAAA